ACACACACACACACACACACACACACATATATATATATATATATATATATATATATATAAGTTAAGTAACACGTAGGAAAAAACCTCCAAAACTATATATATTATCTACAAATAAATTTTGTCAATTTCTAACTGTGATATATCATTAAAACAATGAGTATAATTATTTGTTTAAGTAAATAGTTAAATTCATACATAATTAAGCATTGGGACTTGCACATATTCATGGCTTTGAAATAAATTTGTTAAATCCTATGTGGATAACTCAAACAATACAAATAAATATTTGTACAAATGCTTAATTCAAAAATAATACAGTTATCAGTATAAATTAATTTATGTATAAATATATTATGATATTATTATAATCTAATATGGATTACAAATAATATACTTTAATAATAAAACAATATCAATGGTTTACCACATAATAAAAGTAACTATGTTCATTATTGATGATATTTCTCAAATATATAAATTTCGATACAAGAATTCATTAATCTGGTTAATAACAAATTGAAAACTTACAAAATAATATTTTATATATTGTTATTTTATTTTCTAATAAATTTCTTTGAATAACAAAAAAATACAAATATATATATAGAGAGAGAGAGAAAGAGAGAGAGAAAATAAAATTATATTTGTTATAATAATGTAATTTATTCAACTAAAAAGGATAATTTTTTTAATAATAAAATAGTATCATCTACGGGTACTGGGGATGAACTTGCACATGAATATGAAATATATCTCGAAAATAGTGAATAACATTTACTTGGACAAAAGGAATTATCTGAATTTAGGTCCCTTTTACCAATATCAACCAAGAATATGAAAGTGACGAAAAAAAAAGACAACATAGAATTCGAACATGACATTAAAATTTGATTGTATTTATGGGTGAAAAATACATAGATATTTAACATATATATGATATTCTGAAAAATTGAAAAAAAAAATTAGAAATATTAACGTACAAAAGAGAGAGTTACATGATTTCATAGAGGTACAACTCATGTTTTTAATTGTAAAGACTGAAGATAAAATTCGTATTGGTTTTTGTGTGATTGGAGGTGATTCAAATATACAAAGTTTGTTTTATTTTGTTTATTTTTAGTTGGTATAATTTATTTTATTTTGTCAAAATCTTAACGAGTTGGCTATCTAAACATATGTACATAAATTTTGCCATCCTTTTAATTTATTTAGAGGTCTACAATTATGTAACTATAATTCCTGAAAATAAAAGTATAACATATTAATTTATTGTTAAATTTTCTATTCGTATATATATATATATATTGTTTTCATAAGAGTGATGAGAATATATCGTCTTTTATCAAAATATTGCGACAAGTAAAGTTTCGCACAATATACTACAAACGCAACAACTATTTTTTTTAATCGTATATCACAAGTTTTAGTTTTACTTTTTATTGTTTTAGAGTTATATACTACAATTCAAATATTTTATTCTTATTATTTTACAAGAATTCTATCAACATGTATTTAATATGTTAAATCATAATTCTCATAAATTTAATGCAAAATAAACGTTGGCTATAATATAAACATTGGTAGTGATAATATTGATTGTTACCTTAATATAACCTAAGATTATAAAGAAACAAAAATCTTGAAAGTATATAATAAAATAATAACTTGATACCTAAAGTCAAAAGTTCCCATATTTTTTGTAACTCCTTTCTCTCTCTTCGCCATTCATCTTCCGAGAAGAAAGCTTCATCTTCCGAGAAGAAAATAATTCTCCTTTCATCTCTGGCGAGCCACCTGCCGCAAGAGCATCCAATCCCGGTGAGTTCAAACTCACGCCGCCCGGCAACCGTACGCCTGACCCTCCCCGACGAGCCTCATCCTCCGCTGAGCACGACCACCAGCCTTGTCCGGCTTCTCGCAAAATAGCCAAGCGACCTGCGATTTCCGACCAACATCCGACGCTTAGATCTGGTGTTATTTTCAGTATATGTTTTGTATATGTTCGGTATATGAATCTGTCTACTCGTATATATTTACGTATATATTACGTATATGTTATGAAAAACTCCGATGAATTAGTCTGCTCGTATATATTACGTATATGTTCGAGTGCTTGTAGCAGGCAGAAAATTCATGTTGTAAATCGTGAACATACTGTATATCTCAATGTCGGGGTTTTTTTATTGTATTTTGAGAGAGAGATAATATGTTTCAATTTCAAATCAAACTAGTTTCCTGATAAGAACAATCGCCTAATAAATAGTATATATCCACTTACCTTTTTTTTTTCCAGTTAATCTCTTGCGTGATTTTAGGAAGCTCCTCATGTTTTTCAGTTAATCCCTTGCGTGATTTTAGGAAGCTCCTCATGTTATAACGCATGTTTTTATTTCCTCCACAAATAAAAGTAATTCAATTTGGTATGAGTGCTATTAAAATCAGATATCTCGTACATATGCAATTTTTTTATTTTCTTGTGGTAAATAAAAAAATTGGCCTTGTGGTTTAGAACGCTTTTTAATCCCCAAAGCATCTCAGATTCTCGTTCCGTGAAGATAACCTGTGCTAAAGATGCACGAGGTAACATTTTCAGTAATTTGTTCAATTCTGATACAAATTTGGTTCGATGTGGCTAATGATGATTATATCTATTGTGTGTGTAAGCACAATAATCTTAGTAAGCATTTAAAAACCATCATCTCATTAAGCAAATATCCCATCGTAAGCAAATACACAACCATACGTACTATGAACTAAAAGATCACTCGGACAACCTTCTTCTCAAACAAATAAAAGATGTCATCAGCACACCACTTAACTAGCAAGTTGGTAATCTCATGGCCCTTTGCTGCACTACTTACCAAGTGAATGGACGGGATAACTTTCTTCTCAAACTAAGCTTTGATTCCCCCAATCTGCAGCATAAACACAAAACAAGTCACATTTTTCGCGCACTCATCAAAATAAAATCTTGGTACAAGACTACATATATAGGTGTCAAAGATAGAGTGAGCTTAACAATATTATAAAAGTAAGATTGTACTTTTAATGGAGATAAACTACGACACCTTCTCTACACAATATATCATCACCACGAGTCATTTTCAAATTCCATTTACACGAGAAGTGAAAAATTTTACCCAGAGGGATTTGACTTGACAGAAAAAAAAGTAGAAAAAACTAATCAAAATCTATAATTTAGATTTTTTTTTTCAAACTTAAAAAATATCAAACAATTTTAGCCTAAAGATGGTGATTTTGATTGTGATAATCAATGGACAATCTACATTATTAACAAATTTCATCAGGACCAGATTTCAAGCATTGAAATTATAATTAATTAAAATAATACAGTATCAACGGAGTATTACTAAACTTATACGATATACAAATGAGCAGGAGAGATAGATAACATATTAGAAATTTTTGTTTTTCCAATCAAAATATTCCACCAGAGGTTGATGACTACTCATTGTGCGACATTTAAGTTTTACTTAAGACGAGTTTGTTAGTATTAAATTAAACCTTAAACTCATAAATTAAATCATGCACATAAGAGAATATACCTTAAGCTTCTCCTTTTCTACGCTTCTCCTTTTCTTCCCTTACCATGCTTCTTTTTTCCCACGGCTTCCTGTATAACCAAGCCTAATATACTTCTCACTATCTCAATCGTGGTCACACGCACGTCCTACTCTCAATTATATTAGAATTCCTGAGTCTCGAGACCTCGAACTCGTCAGGCTCGCCCATATGATCTCGAGCACATGTGGACAACAATGACCAATTACGTGCCACCAAGAAAATTCAATCAGGTATTCTCTTTGACGATTTTACACTTTGTTGTGCGACCCACTGGTATAAAACGCATTGCTTCCGAGAACAACACGACATTTTGGCATAAACTCACAATCATGGCCTTCTGTTATACAATTTCTGTAGAGACACCACTAATAACGCATCAAGCATGTCCTCCAACGTTTCCTTGCCCAAATATAGCTTTTCAGTTAACAAGCTTGAGTATTCGCATCTGATATGACATATACATCGACCGTTTTTTAGCGTGACTGTCACTCTCCCGCCCTCCGCAGCTGCATCCAAGCGTACTCTTTCGTTACGATTCTTCTTTTTTCTTTGAATGTCTTTTCGAATCGTTTTTTACGACCATGACGTAGAGGTCTTTGTGCCGTACCGCAAGCCGAACCTCCCTTCCATTTCGTCCTTGTAGGACCAACACAAAGTACGGTCGGTTCTCGGCACCGTTCGGCATACAGATGTTTGGGACATCCGATGGTATCGATAATCTTGCGGGAAGTTGCTCGATCACCCTTGGTATTCTGTAGGGTAAGAGTGAAAATCATGTTCAAGCCCGAATGCAAGTTTATTTATAAATCTAAGGGCAGCCATGTGTTTTTTTTTTTTTTTGTGGAGACTGTTGGGAAAGAGTAAGAAATAACCGTGAAAGAAATAATATGTAGGAACTAAGAATAAAAAAAGTTAAGGGTGGTTAAAAAATTCAACTATCACCATTTTATAGTTGATAAATGACGTAATAGTTGTTGAATTTTTTAAGGGCGTTACTATTCACCGCCCCCTTCTCATTTTTTCTAAACATCTCAGAGGAAAGTGTACGGTGAAATGTCGTCAAGTTCGGAAGTACGAAAAAATACGTGTCCGGCCGCCGGTTCCGGACAGCTTATAGCCCGTCCGGACCGGCCGGCCGGACGGCTTAAAGACCGTCCGGAAAGCATGGCCGGTCGGACCGGCCGTGTCCGAACCGGCCGGCCGGACGGCAAGAGAGCCGTCCGGAAACGACGGCCGGTCGGAACCGGTCCGTCCGGTTCGGCCGGCCGGCCGGA